GTTAAAGAATTTGGCAAAACATGATATCCACCTATTCAAAAACAAAAGTAGCATCTACTCTTTTGCCCCCAAGTGATTTGATCTTGTACCAGGTAGAATGCTGGCACAAATAGGGTCAAGAGTCTCAAAGCCCCGTCCCCTACTGAGGAGCTACTGGCAGTGGATGGCTGCTGGGAGGGAGAGTCACTCTGTCTTGAGGGTTGGCGCTGACAGTTCTCATGCCCCAGAGCATGCCCTACCACCACTCCCCAACGCATACAGGTGGCACTAATTAGATTTTAGTAGCTTATAAAAACAGACAATACAGGAGCTCTACAAGGACAGCAACAGATCCAAAAAGTCTGGGCACAGGGGTCTTTTCTGAGACTGATACTCCAGCCAAGGACCACTAATGGAGATGGCCTGAAACCCCTGCACAGAGGTAGCCTATGGCAGTTCAGTGTCCAACTGGGCTCCATAGCAATGGGGACAGGGATTATCTCTGACAGGAACTGATTGGCCTGCTCTTTGATCACCTCCCCCTGAAGGGGGAGCAGCCTTACCAGGCCACAGAGGAAGACAATGCAGCCACTCCTGATGAGATCTGATAGACTAGGATCAGAGGGAAGAGGAAGACCTCCCCTATCAGTGGACTTGGGGAGAGGGACATGGGTGGGGAAGAGGGAGGGTGGGACTGGGAGGGGAGGAGGGTTCAGGGGGGATACAATGTGAATAAACTGTAATTAATAAAAAAAATCCCTTAAAAAAGCAGACAATAGATATAGAGTTGGGGGAGGTATTGTGAGCACCACGTGGGGAGTTAGAGAGGAAAATGGAGGGTAGTCACAATCACACTTCATTTTAGACACGTATGACATTCTCACAAATAAAGAAAAAGTGCTGGAAAGGTAGCTCAGCAGTTGGAAGCACTTGCTGCTCTTGCATAGAACCTGAGCTCAATTCCCAGCACTCACATGGTAACTCACAGTCATTTGTAACTGTGATTCCACAGGGACCTGATACCCTCTTTTGACCTTCATAGGCACCAGGCATAGATGTGGCTCACAAACATAAATGTAGGCAAAACATTCATACACAAAAAATAAATCTAAAAATTAAAGAAAAAATAAAGTTCTATCCATCTATCTATCTATCTATCTATCTATCTATCTATCTATCTATCTACCTACCTACCTACCTACCTACCTACCTACCTACCTACCTACTTACCTACCTACCTATCCTCAGTTTGACATAAGCTTGGGTCATCTAAAAAAGGACTTCAATTGAAAAAAAATGCTTCCATCAGAATGGCCTGTAGGTTAGCCTGTGGGAACTTTTCCTGGTTAATGGTAAGTGTGGAAGGGCCCTGCCCACTATGGGTAATGCTACTGCAGACAGGAGGTTCTAGGTTATGTAAGAAAGCAGACTGAGCAAACCACAGAGAGCAAGCCAGTAAGGAGAGTTCATAGTCTCTGCTTCAGTTCCTACCTTCAGGTTCCTGTCTTGAGTTCCTGCCCTGCCCTACCTTCATGACAGACTGTAAACTGTACCAAATCCTCTCTTCCCCAAGTTGTTTTCAGCCATAGTGCTTTATCACAGCAAAGGAAAGCAAACTAACAACTGTGTTTAAAAAATATATTAAAAACTCAAAGTAGTTCCTATAAAATCAAGAGTGAAATAAGGTTATCTATTCTCTACTGAAATTCAATATAGTACTTCAAGCCTAGCTACAGCAATAAGACAAGACAAAGAAGCAGAAGGGATACAAACAGGAAGGAAGCATCAAAACACCCCTCCACTTGTAGACAATAAACCCTATGCACCCCACAAGAAAATCTCAGAACTGCCAACGATTTGCAAAGCAAGAAACAAAATCAGCAGCTTCTGTATAACAAGATTTCTGAGATGCTGAGAAAAAAAAATGGAAATAGTTTAATAGCTTTTTAAAGCTCATAATAGCTTTAAAAACAAAATATTAAACAAACACTGATAACAATAAAACACATGGTAATAAACCTACCAAAAAAGTGAAAAACTTCGACAATCAAAATTTTAAGACATTAAAGAGAGTCATAAATACTAGAAGATGGAAAGACTTTTCATACTGATATACTGGCAAAATTAGTTTTCTGAAATGGCTACAGCACAAAAAACAATTTACCGTTTCATGTAATCCCCATCAACATTCCAAACATTCTTTACAATATTGGAATAAATTTACAAAATTGGAATAAAATTCATATACCAACAAAAAGGCCCTGAATAGTTAATGCAACTCTGAACAAAAGAACAATGCTAGATTTCAAATCATAGTACCCAACAACTATTGTAGAATAAACTACAAGGTCTTCAACAAATACAGACATACACACCCAGGGAACAGAATAGAGGACCCAGAAATAACCCATGCAGCTACAGCCACAACATGGGGCTGCTTCCTCTTCCTCCCCTATTTTTTTTTTTAAACAAAAATATCACTGACTCCATTTTGTGTTGACCACCTACTCCTGGGCATGGGATCTACCCTGAGGTGTGGTTAATATACCTAGTGGCCCCACTGGGGAAACCTAATTGCAAGTAGCTTTGTGGTTAAGAGTGGGAGTCTATGTCCACTTCCCCTCTCAATGCTGGGACCCCAACTGGCTTGAACCTGTGCAGGCTTGGCTGCACCGCCATAGTCTCTGTGGCCACAAAATTTCTAACCAAAATGCTGAAAGCATGAACTGGAGACAAAACAGTCATCATCAGTAAATGATGCTGGGAAAACATTACATCCACATACTGAGGAATGAAACTAAATCCTCATCTTTCCTCTGTACAAAAACAAATTAAAAACTGATCAAAGGCTTTACTATAAGGCTTGAAACTCTAAAAAATAAACTCAATTTTATAATCATCTTAAAATTTTATTATTTTCTTTGCTTGGGCACAGTGAAGTAGTTTTTTGTTTGTTTGTTTTTTAATAATATAGGTGGACACTCTTAGATTCATTTTCTGCCGAAGCTTCCCACGTGTTTTTAGTGTGAGACAGGCCCAAATTACTCAGCTGCTTGGGTTCCTGCAGAGGATGTGAACCTACCTGAGAAGAAAACTCTCCATACAGGGAGGAGGAGAGCAAGAATAGATATGCACTGAGATTTGGAGGCAAAGGCACCACAGTTCTCCCTGTCTTTGAGGTGGCAAACAGCTAGCTCCTTGCTGAGATGACCAGTTTGTTTAAAAAGAAATAATACACACAACACATCTAGAGATAAAAAAGACAAAACAACCATACCCCCCCTCCAATAACAAAACACATGTGATCAGTCCTGGCATCATCAGAGTTAAAAGCCTGAAAGTAAAGGAAGGGCTGGGGCCAGGCAGTGGTGCACACCTTTAATCCCACCACTCAGGGAGCAGAGGCAGGCAGATCTCTGTGAGTTCTCTGTGAGTTCCTGGTCTACATACCAAGCTCCAGGACAGCAAGGGCTATACAGAAAAACCCTTTCTAGAGAAAGCCAGCCAACCAACCAACCAACCAACCAACCAACCAACCAACCAACCAACCAACCAACCAATCGATCAAATAAAGTGAGGGCAGGTGCACTGGGGTTGGGAGGTTTGATTTGCCTCTGTTTCTTGATCTAGCTGATGGCCTGGAAGTGTGTTCACTCCCAGATAGATCACAGGCCAGTGCATTTGCCACTTACACACTTTTCTCAATCTTAAGGTAAAAAAAATATGCAGGAAAACCAGATCCAATTGTTGCTTGCTTAACTCAGATAAGTAGACAATAAATGTCCTAGAAGTAGAAAGCAATCACATCCTGGAATTCATGAGACAGTTCCTTTAGTCAAACATACAACTACCTCCACAAAGACACCCTTAGCGTCCTGAAGAATGTGCCAATCTTACAACACAACAAGAGCACAGCGTGAGGTTCAGCCAGAGCCCGGGCAGAGTGGAGGCAGCTCAGGTGTTCTGCCTTTGTGGAACAGCGGCACAAGGCCAAATTGCCCCACAGGGAACCAGGAATGCATCCGTGCCTTTCCTATGCCCAGAAAAGCACAACCCTACTGTTTACTCCCCACAGAGGGCATTAAAAAGTCTGTGGTTTGCAGCTCTGGGCACTAGAATCACCTCAGATACTTTAAAACTTTCTAATTAAATGAGTGGTGAGGGAGCTGTGAGGGTCTCTCTGTGTCTCTCCCTGTTTGTGTTGGTTTTTTTCAATTCCCCGGCCTCCACCTTCTGAATTTGGGGATTACATGCCCATATGGGAATGCTGTTGTTTTATCTGACTAGTTCTAACTACACTCAGGATTTAATGAGCTTTTATTGGATCATTTTTCACTTTCTATTCATTCACTATTCTCAATACTTTGTGTTCTTATATCTTAGCCAAAGAAATAATGACTACTCTACTTTATAGGATTCTTTGCTTTTCTAATCATCATAGCTCCTCATACAATGTAAGCAAGTCTGTGATCAGCTTGATTGCATTCTTAGGAAAATCCACATTTGTAACTAAGAGAGGGCTGACTGGTGAAAACAGGTTATAAAAAGAAATTCTAATAAACTTCTACTAGTGACAAGAGAAGCAGATGAGGGAATCAAGATCAAAGGCTGCCAATCTACTTAGACTGTAGGCATATTCCAGTGAGCCACGAAAAGTGATCTTGAACATAGACAATCAGCTACTTCTCTCTTGGTAAACAGGCTTCCCAGAAAGATAAAGGGGCTTTTCAAAGGAGCAGAGATACATTTCAATCCCTAGCCTTTTCCAAACACTGGAGTCTTACATAGATATAATGTGTCAGCTACACGGTATCCTAGCAACATCCCTCACAAAAGGAGAGTATGTGATGCCAAGCAGGTCCCCTGCCTGGTGTTTAAACACTGAGGGTGAGACTCACTCTGAAGAAACATGCTCTAAGAAACTCCACAGGAGGAAAGGATGTGTTACCAGGTCTGCTAACCAAGAAAGGAAGCAGACAACAGGCAGTTTTGGTCCAAAGTCGGACCAAAACACAACGTACTTGTTTTTTACTCCTGATGCTTCAGTGGAACCGTGACTCCACACTGCTGGGGCTCCAGATGCATCTCCTGCTGAAGGCTGGTCAATCTTGAAGCAGCGGATGTTACTATGGAGAGAAAAGGTGGCAGGAATCATTAGGAATGGATGAGTGAGAGCTGCCACCTTACATGAGAAATGAAACTGCTAAGCACTCTCCACCTCTGCTGTGTCTACTGTGAATGAAATACTTACCAGCATTAGGAGCCTGCTCCTCAGGTGCTTTACATTGGTAAAGAGAACAAGGGCATAGATGCAGCACAAATAGCAGTTTTCTTGGTGACTATAGAGCGGCAAGTAGAGACTGACAGATTGTACACTACCTGTCTACTCTTCTCTCAGTCTTGGCATGAGTAAGCACAACTTAGGACAACAGGAGATGCTCAGTTGATAAAGTACTTGTGTCAGCTTGAGAACTGGAGTTTGGCGCCTAGAATCTACACAAAAAGGTATAATCCCAGCACTGAGGATGCAGACAGGACCCTTGGTCAGCCATCCTAGCCTAACGGTGAGCCCCAGCCCGAGATCCTGGTAGGAGACCTTGTCTCAAAAAACAAAGTAGATGACTCTTGAGCAATTAGGTTGATCTCTGGCTTCCATGCATACCTGCACATACATGAACATGAATACATACCTACTTAAATAAAACTAAACTTAAAAGGAAACAAAAATTAAGTATCACGTTAAGTTACAATTCTTACTCCAAGAACACCCACACTTGAAAAGTTGGGCAATGGTTAGAGAATCCTGTAGTATTCATCTTCAAACCCAACTCTTGTCTGTATCAGCCATTCAAATAGCCAACAAACACTACCGAGGACTTGGCACAGCCTAGATCTTCCAGTTTTTTCCTTACCATCTACATTTAGGCTAAAAAAAAAAAAAACTTACAACAGGCATGCAAAATTTCATTAATTTTCACTGCATGTTCTAAGATGTGAGCTTCAGATCCTCCCTCAGCTGTTAAAGGGTTCAATAGAACCAAAGCAGAAACGTGCAGTAAAAAGGAGGAACTGCTCACTGTTTTTAAAGCAGCCTATCAGATATCAATAGTGCTGCTGGGCAGGACATGCTGGCCCATGCAAGGAGCCCTGCAAATGAGTGTGGGCACAATAGAGCCTACTTATTGCATTATTACTATTGGGCTTTCTTTGCATAACTTAAACAAAAGAAAAAGTAAATACATGTATCATTTCTTGACAACCTAACTCTTTTTTTTTTTTTTTGGGTCAGGACCCCAAGAATTTTAAATAACAGAATACTCTACGTAAGAACCAGTTAAAATTTATGTAGTGTTCACTCTAGTTGTAGAAATACGTCATTGGAATTTCTCTGAAATTACTAAACTTGGCTAAAGAAAAGGTTCTAAGGGCTGGAGAGGCGGCTCATTGGGTAAATGGGAGTTGCTGTTTAAGGAGGAGGACCAGAGGACCCCACACTCACAAGGAGCTGGACATGGCTGTGAGCACCTGGAACCCCTGTGCTGGTTGTGGGGCGTGGGGGTTAGGTAGAGACAGGAGGATTGCTGGGGTTTGCTGGCTGTCAGCCTAGCCACAGGTTCGGTGAGAGACCCTGTCTCAGAGTGGCAGAGCAGTCACCAACACCTTCTCTGGCCTCTGAGAATACGCTTATGGGTTTTCAGGTGTGTGTACCCCCACCTCCACACACAGAGTATACCCCAATTACTAGCCCACTTGGAAAACAGATGCTCTTAATATAAAGTTAATTCTTCATTTCATAGTGGGCTGTAAGTCCTCTTTTCAACAGTTTCAATCTTATCAATACAAGACAGGCAATAAAAAGTGAATGTGCTCACCACAGGAGCTAGCAGTAAGCTCTGTAAATGCTGTCCTGCTCCTAGCTCCATCTGCCACACACCTGTGCTACCCTCCTGACTCTAAGGACAGCTGATGCTCCACTTCCAAAGACACCAGTAATCTTTACAGACCAAAAAGTTTTCTAATCATTACAGGAAAAACATGAATGTCTCTGACTCATTCAACAATCTTTTGTAAGGAAGCAATCAGCTCTCTAGTTTAACTATGTAAGTGAGCAGGCTTTTGAGAAGATGGCTATGTGGACTGTCTGACATCCTGGCATCTGGAATGGGACTGAGCCCACGAGGCTCTGGCCAAAGAAGACTTCCTCTATGCACTCACTCTAGCTCCTGCACAAGTCCGATAATCCCCAGTCACAGTAATGTGTGGAAACTTCCAGAATTACTAAGAAAACACAGTCTCTGGGACTAACCAGAAGGTAACATTTTCAGTATTATGATTCATCCTTACTAATTATTTTTTAACTCTGAGAGCACACCGCCTTCACCACAAGAGGTAGGTCACTCCAGTAACATATGCTCATGCAAAGACTTTAACAGATTTATTTATGCAAATCTAACTGTGGGATACTTTCCTATCATCTATCTACCACCTATTTGTCTGTCTGTCTATCTACTTACCTACCATCTATCTTTCAACCTATCTATCATCATGCATCTACCACCTATGGCAGTTAAGCATATTTTTCTAATTATGTCACAAATATTTTCAAGTTATTTTATGTTAATTCTAAACACAACTATAAATAAGATGATAATTATCTCTGTGCTTAAAATACACACTAACTTTTTAAAATAAAAGCCTGAACTGAGGATTTAAGAATAGTTGATGACTTCTGGGGGATAAAGTCGGTTTTCTTTGAGGGTGTGGTAGGCTGACCACATTCCAGTGGATGGCCTCACACCTAGCAGTATATTAGTGGACTGGTTATTTAAACCCCACAAAGTTTCAGGGACTGGGAGGTAGAAGTTTATCTAGAAGGAACTAGGGGGGGAAGGGCATAGGTTGGGGATAAAGAAGAAAAAAAAAGAGAGAAAATGAATAAAAAAAATTTAATACAAAGACCCCTAACCTAAGTAAGAGTGTTTCTAAAGGTCTTGACAGGATGGGTAAGCCACTTTTAAAGAAAGCTGAAATAAGCTGGCTTCTCTTACAGAACCAATCTGAAATGTTCAAATATTTGCTTTTTTCTTGATATGCTAATAAGCACGAACACCTTTTGTTTGTACTTCTTTTGTTAAATATTAACAACCTTGGCTCATTTTCTATTTGAATAAAAACTTTTTCCTTCTTTGGAAAAAAAAAGGGTTATTTTAGTTTATGCACATGTGTTAACATGTGTGTGCAGGTGTCTGCTTAGGCCGTAAGAGGTCATCAGATCCTCTGCTCCTCTGCAAGAACAGCATATGCTCTTAACCACTGAGCTCTCTCTCCAGCCCAAATGGAAACTTTTTTACTGGCTTATAAGAGTGCTGTCCACTAACAATATCAAGACTTTAGTTTTATAGTAGTTCTCATGTGTGTTTATTAGACTAATATGTAGACTAATATATATGTACATTACTACACACAATGATTTCTCTTACTGCAAGTTCCTCAACCCTTTCTGACATAAAAATAATTTCTAGCTTATGAACAGAGTCAGATAATTTTATTCTACATATATAAGTCTTTAATCCACCTGGAATTTATTTGGTACAATTTCTCTATACAGCTAGTCCATATGGAGAAATCTTGATACAGTTCTTTTATATCTCTTGGAAATAGGTTCTCTCACTCTGTAGATCAGGCAGTCCTGTAAATCACAGTATACCCTCAGCTGACCGAGAACTCATGGCAGTCCTTCTGCCTCAGTCTTCTCAGTGTTGGTTTACAGGTGTGAGCTATCACACCTGGCATTGATCAATAAATACTCATGAAGATGAAAATATATGTTGATATTTCAAGGTTCTCTTAGCTCTTGAACATCTTAGAGATTATGCCAGCCATTCCTGTCAGCTTAAAGGGCATGTCTGAGGACTGAGGGAGTTAGGCCACACTCCATAAACAGTGAAGAAAAAAATCAGGTCTTCCCAGTGCTCTTTGTTTAGGGAGCATTCTGTAGTTATATACCAAATTAATTTTTTATTTATTAAGTATTTAACAAGCCAGCAAGTGAGCTTTAATTAGACCAGGTGGGTTCTACCCAGGAAGCTGGTCTTTTCTAAGCTTTGATTTGGACTACCCAAAAGGTTCCTAATGGTCCATTCACCAAAATTCTAATATAGTCAGTTTTTCATAACCTATCATGGGTGACTTCCAGCAAAAGAATCCAGCAGCATATTATAAGACATATGGCAGAAACAAAGACTACGCTGTTCAAGAATGCTATTTATAAAGGCAAAAGCCGACAAGCACACAGGAGGAAGCAGAAAGCACTCACAGGAGAATACTCCTAGTACTTGCTACCGATCCTTTGGGGTATGTTTTACATGTGCACACATTCACCCGCACAATGCATACATTTAATTTGAAAGAATGGGATAATATGTGCACAAATCTCTTTGTAAGTTTTCTTTGTCTAATACTATACTCTAAAGAGCCTTTTGGTTACTACTATAGCTTGACATTAGGGTGTTAATGTATAAAGTATTTGCGAAGCACAAGTTATTTAATTATATTAACTATATTTGGAGCTCTGTGATGAATACTCCCACAGTGACATCTTTTCTACGAATGCTACATTAAACCTCAAGTGGCCACACTTTATCAACATCCACCATGAGCTCTATCAAGAATGACCTAACTGCAATTCATCTGCATTCCCTATCATTATTTTTAAGTATCTAATACCTTCTTTTACATCATCTACCTCCTTCAAAATCTTTTAGTGACATTTGCATTTAAGCATCACCATCAGGTTAGCAGGAGCCACTGGGCTGTATGCTCCCATCTTGGACGATACCTTCCTTCTGAGTTCTCTTCTTCTGTGTAGATGGCTACTAAGTCAAAAGAATCTTCCTGTTTCAAGTGTTTATGAAGCCGTAAATCCCACTGCTAGTGAACGCTGGGGGGGGGGGGGCGACACAATGCTTCACAAATACTTACTTCAGCAGCTCCAGGCTTTTGTGGTCCAGGGTCAGGCGAGGGTTTCCAGTAAGGTCTAGCTCTTGCAGTTTAGGTGGCAGGTTTTCTGGTAACGTGATTTCACTTAGCTCATTACAGCTCAGGTCCACACACTGACAGAACAATGGAAACAAGAAAGATGACCTGGAGAGGCTGTAGGTTCCATGGTTGTGCTCTGCAGATGAGCACTGGTCAGAAAAAAGGCAGCTGCCTGCCACTCTACCATATATTTAAGGACGTGGCTACATAAACTCTTTTTACTTGCTTAGACTGCACCATTCATCTTTTCCCTTAATTCTTATCTCCACATTTAAGATAAAGCATTAACTGGAAAAAAGGACTAGGTCTTTTCTCATGGCTTATATCTGTGCCTGCTTGGACCTTCAAGGTTATGTCAACATTAACATGACCCCAAAGGGCCTTCTCAATGCAAAACAAAAGACAAGGAAGACACAGAACTTAAAAAAACAAAACAAAACAACTCCCCGGCAGCCTATAGACTGGGAAAAGTTCTTGACCAACTCTACATCTGACAAAGGGCTACTTTTCAAAATATATAAGGAACTCAAGAAATTAAACACCAACCAACCAAAAGATCCCAATTTAAGAAATGGGTATAGACATAAACAGAGAATTCTCAACAGAAGAATCTTGAATGGCCAAGAAGCACCTAGGCCTTAGCAAATCAAAACGACTTTGAGATTCTAGCTTACACCTATCAGAATGGCTAAGACCAAAACTTCCCAAGTAACAGCACATGCTGGAGAGGGTTTGGAGAAAGGGGAACCCTCTTCTATTGCTGCTGGGACTGCAAACTTATACAACACTGTGGAAATCAATCTGGAGGTTTCTCAGAAAATTGGGAATAGATCTACTTCAAGACCCAGCTATACCACTCCTGGACATATAACCAAAAGATGCTCCACTACACAACAAGGACACTTGCTCAACTATGTTCATAGCAGCTTTATCTATAATAGCCAGAAACTCAAAATAGCCAGGTGTCCCTCAATCAAAGAATGGATAAAGAAAATGTGGTACATTTACACAATGGAATACTACTCAGCTATCAAAAACAAAAACATGGGGTGGAGAGATGGCTCAGAGGTTAAGAGCACTGGCTGTTCTTTCAGAGGTCCTGAGTTCAACTCCCAGCACCCATATGGTGGCTCACAACCATCTATAATGTGATCTAATGTCCTCTTCTGGCATGCAGGCACATATGCAGGCAGAACGCTGTGTACATAATAAATAAATAATTTTAAAAAAATAAACAAGGACATGATGAAATAGAAAATATTATCCTGAGTAGGGTAACCCAGAGCCAGAAAGACACACATGGTATGTACTCACTTATAAGTGGATATCAGCCATAAAGTACAAGACAGCCATGCTACAGTTCATAGATACAAAGAATCTAAGTAAAAAAAAGAAGGGTCCAAAGAAGAATGCTTGAATCTCACTCGTTGGGAGAAATCAGATATCTGAAGTAGATGGAGGGAGGGATGTGGGTGGGAGAGCAGTGGTGAAAGGATCAGGTATGGGAGAGCTGGGAAGAAGAAAGTAGGGGGACATCTCTGGGATGGGGGATGCTCCCCAGAGTCTATGCTGGTGACCCTAGCTGAGACTCTCAGCAGCAGGGATACGGAGCCTGAAGGGGCCACCTCCTGTAGCTAGGCAGAACTTCCAGTAGAGGGAGGGGGATATCAACCCCCACACAAAACCTTTGACCTAGCCAAACAATTATTGGCATGCCATGAGAGCGGCCACTATTAATAATATCCTGCTGTACTTGCAGACAGGAGGCTAGTATAACAGTCATCTGAGTGGCTTCACCCAGCAGCTGATGAAAACAGATGCAGAGACCCACAGGAAAACATTAGGTGGCACTCAGAAAATCTAATGGAAAAGAGAGAGGAGGACTGAAAGAGTCAGAGAGGTCAAGGACATCCCAAGACAACCTACAAAATCAACTAACCTGGGCCCATAGGGGCTCACAGTGACTAAACTCCAACCAGAGAACTTCCATGGGACGGGCCTAAGACCCCAACACATACATAACAGATATGTAGCTTGGTCCTCATGTAAGACTTCTAACAGCAGGAACAGGGACTGTCTCTGACTCTGTTGCCTGCCTTTGGATGCCCTTCCCCTAACTGGACTGTTTTGCTTAGCTTCAATAGAAGATGTACCCAGTCCTACTTGACATGCTGAGGCAGGCTGATATCCATGGGATGTTGTCCCTTCTCTGGAAGAAAGGAAGTAGGGCATAGGGAGAGTGGAGAGGAGGGAAGAGGGAGGGACTAAAAGGAGAGAAGGGAGAGGAAGTTCCAACTGGGATGTAAAGTAAATAAATTAATTAATGAAAAATATAGACTGTAGTTAATGTCTAAAAACAAATAAACACAAACAACAACAACAACAACAAAACAAAATAAAACAACCAAAAACCTGGACAAGAAAATAAATAACCCAATTACAAAAAGTGGGGTACAGAACTAATTGGTTTTCAAAAAGTGAAACACAAATGCTGAGAAAGACTTTAAAAAAATGTTTTACAAGCCAGGCATGGTGGTGCATGCCTATAATCCCAGCACCCAGGGAGGCAGGGGCAGGTGGATCTCTGTCAGTTTGAGGCCAGCCTGGTCTAGAAAGTAAGTCCAGGACAGCCAACACTACATAGAGAAACCCTATTTCGCAAAACAAACAAACAAACAAACAAAAACCTGTTTGATATCCTTAGCCATCAGGAAAATGCAAACCAAAACTACTTTGACATCCTTCACCAAAAGACATAATTTGACATATTCATATCAGAATGGCCAAGATAAAAAAAAATGACAGCTCATGAAGGCATGGATATGGGCAAGAAGAACACTTACTCATTGCTGGTGGGAGTGCAAACTTATACAGTCACTATGGAAATCAGTGTGGCAGTTCCTCCGGAAGCTAGGAATAGATCTACCTCAAGATCCAGATATACCACTCTTGGGCATATACCCAAAGGTCTCTACATACTACTACGGGAGACACTTGCTCATCCATATTCATTGGTGCTCTATTCATAGTAGCCAGAAATTGGAAAACACCTAGATAGCCATTAACTGATGAATGGATAATGAAAATGTGGTACATTTACACAATGGAAAATTACTCAGCTGTTAAGAAAATTATGTAAATGAATGTCACTAGAAAAAGGTCACCTTGAGGGAAGTAACCCAGATCCAAAAAGGGAAATGTTGTATGGTTTCTCTTCTATGTAGATGTTAGTGTTTAAGTTTTAGCTATGTGTGTTTCAATCCAAATAACCACAGAGCTTATGTGCCTAGTAAGGGACCAGTGGGGAGGAGGGGATCTCCCAAGGTAGGGCAGAGAGTTTAGTGTTATAAAAAGATAAAAAGGAAACTAGAATAGGAGGATTATGTGGAGGAGGGGGATGAAAAGAAGGGGAAAGGAGGGAATATGCTGTGGGACGACTAACACCGAAGGCCATTAGAAAAACCATACAGAAATTTACTATTTGTAGAAGCATTCTAAAATATATACAAATAGGAAAGAAACCTAAAATGGAGTCACCAAATAATAGGGGAGACAACACCCCAACTAGACATCTTATGCCACCAAGTAAAACTTCCAGTGCCAGGAATTTGTTACATTTTTTTGAGTCCATTGGCTCAGTGACGTTGGTAGACTGAGTACTTTCTACAATTTGATGGTCAGTCTGTATTGCTGAAGAAAACACTTATGTTATCAAACATGGAGAGGCTGAGCTAGTGCCCAGTTATAAGGTATGACTTGTTTCATGGTACCAGGAGGTACTCCACACGCTTCTGGAGGAAAAACGAAATCACCAGTGTCGTCCAGCTACAAACGCTGAGATCTACCATGGCAACATGCCTGCAAATATACTGGTGCAACAGTGGCTGACAGTAACAAGCAACGTTCTGATTGGACTTAAGGCCTACTGCATGAGATGGAGCCCACACCTCACACTGCCAGAGCTGGCAAGAGCCTGAAACTACATAGGTGACCAGCCTACGGAAAAACCTGAAACATTATTCTGCTAAGGGACATAGCAATAAATGATATCCTGCTACATCCATAGACCACTGTCTCACCCTTCCCACATTAGAGAGTGCAGCAGATGGCAATTAACCAGAGACCCACAACTGGACAAAGGCAGAGAAGTGAGACACTTTGGAGGACTCAGTCCGTAAGGAGACGCCTTCATCAAATCCCTCACTCAGAACTCAGGGAGCTATACAGAGTAGTAGGTGGGAAGATTGCAAGAGTCAGAGTGGATGGATGACGCCAAGAAAACTGTTTTCAGACACAACAGGATGGACACACATATGAACTCACAGAGAGTGTGGTATCAGGCACAGACCTGTACAGGTTCAAGCCAGATGGGATCCCAGTACTGACAGGGGGTTGTGGACATCAGTCCCACCGCTAACCATGAAGTTGTTCGCAAGTGATGTCAAAGGAAAACTAAGTTTTCTGTAATAGGGTGTCACTGGATGTGTTAACCACATTCCAGGCAGGCCACATGCCCAGAGGTAGTTAGATTTCAAAGGAACAAAGTCAATGGTAGTTTTGTGGACTTTTGCTTCATTTTGCTTTGTTATGGTACTTTTTCTTACTGGTCTTTTGCCTGTTTGTTCTGATGTTTCCTGCTTTTTCACATTTATTTGTTATTTATTTTTATTTTTGAAAGACAGTGAGAAAGAAGAACAAAGCGAGGTAGGGAAGGTAGGGAGGTGCTGGAGGAGTTGGGGGAGGGCATAATCAAAATATATGAAAAAATTAATTAAAAAATTCATCCATTGAACTTCCCCCAGACATGTAGGAAATGATTCATGATGCAGGAACACAGCAGAGAAAAAACTACCCTGGAAGGCTGCATAGTTGGTCTTAGGAGTGATAACAGCCAGTCAATAGGACAAAGAATTGGCTAGGTCAGTTGGGCAGGCAACCCTTCTCTGTCATCCAGTAGTACCTCCTGACTTATATGTGACTACAAAAACCTTAAATTCTGAAATCACCACAAGAATGTTTGTCAGTTTGAGGCAGAATCAAGGTCTAAATTATAGATATTTCATTTTTAAAAGAGCTGGAGAAAAAAAAGATGCCTAAGAAGAGAAAGGTAAACAACCAGAAGTAGGCCTACCAAGTGATTGAACCCATCTGAGCAAACACTTCACTGTAAGTAAGAAGCCAAAGTATAGCATTGCTTTTCCATATAAAGTTGTACTTGGATATAATTATTCAAATGCAATTAATATTTAAACCCAATCTGAAGGTAGCTTTTCTTTTCAATTGCTATGTACTAACTTCATTGATTTTTCTTGAATAGATTTTGGATTTAGTTATGAATATTTAAACAGATAAAAATCACAAACAGTGTATATATTTGTTTTATAAAAGTCTATACTCTCCCAAACAGTATTCAATTCCCCCAAATACTGTATATCCTAATATAAGAAATAAACTGCAAAATTTGAATTGAAGAAAAAGCATCCTGTATAACCTAGAACCCCTGCCCCAGATATAGCCCACTGCAGCTCAGTATCCAAGCGGTTCCCTAGTTAGGGGAACAGAGACTGTCTCAGACCTGAACTCAACGGCTGGCTCTTTGACCTCCCCCCGCCCTCCGAGGGAGGAGCAGCCTTGCTAGGCCACAGAAGAGGACATTGCAGCCAGTCCTGAAGAGACCTGATAAGCTAGGATCAGATGGAAGGGGAGGAGGTCCTCCTCCATCAGTGGACTTAGAGAGGGGCAGGGAGGAGATGAGGGAGGGAGGGTGGGATTGGGAGGGAATGAGGGAGGAGACTACAGCTGGGATACAAAGTAAATAAACTGTAATTAATATAAATTATAATAATAAATACAAAAAAATAAAACCCATCCTGTATTTCAGATTAATTTTTTTCTTTTTATATTTTAATACTGGCTATGAGTGGTCTGTGGCAATGTTACAGGCGACTGGCACATGCTTCTGAGTGCTTTGGTTTTACTCAGAGCTCGTAGAGAAGAACCAGTATTTTCATGGTAAAGGAAAACGTTATTTTTAAAAATGGTAAAGCATAAAATGAGCATGAGATTTTTGATTGAAAAAGACCTGAAAGAAATTGTGAAGTCGTCCCAAGCTGTCTTCCACAGTCCTTAGAGCAAGAGCACACTGCCCTTCACCCGCAGGCAATGCGAGCATGAAAGGAGAGCATCCACGGCTACTTCTGGAGCCCATTCCCGGTGCACCTTTGCACAAGAGTGTCTGTAAGCACTGGCCCCGTTCCTATCTACTGTAAGGTGAGGCATGGCCTTGAATTCAGAAGTATCTGGGCAAACTAGAGTTTAAAAACAGATGAAAACATAACCAGCCAGAGTGCCCCAATTTCATAGGCATGATGAAATGTAGCCCAAGCTTCCCATTGGTCAGTTCCTGGGGAGGCCAGAACAAAGTGGCTTTAATGGCCACCTTCTGCTTGCTGCTTCTTTCCCGAGCCCTTTGATGGCGCTCTGCCCAAACGAGAACTGACACCAGACTCCATGGCTGTCAGAACATTTCCTAGATGGCTGTTATTGTATCTGATTCCAGGCCTTGGACGCTGGTTCCTGGTTCCTGCTGCTGTGTGTGTACCACAGAAGCCACCCTGACTTCAAACATCGGAGCCCAACTACTCGACCCACCTGCATCCTGACCTAGCTGCTTTCTATCCTCTGGTTTTCTGATGAATGCATCCTTTCCTTCTTTCTACCTTAACCCAGCCGTCTCCCCAGACTGAGAGGAATCTTTACAACAAAGCACACTCTCTCAGCAAGCAAGGTTGCTTGGTTCAGCTAAGTCAGGCTGAACTCTCAACTGACTTCAAGCTTGAACTCTCCTCCCTTGCTATCTATTTTCAGCTTCTTAGAGGCATTGATTAAAATAACTTAAGAGTCCATTCCTCAGGGATGAGCTTACACAGCATGTCCACAGAGTGTACAACACACACAAGAACCCGACAAACAGCACTTGCTGACGTGGTGTTGAAATCCCACAGCATAAGACAAACTGACCAAGATCTCATTACGGAACATCTATTTCACTCGCTTAAAAGAAATTCCACAAAAATTACAGTAAGTTACTAATTTAAAAATTATTCAACTGAATATTTGGGTTTTAAAGCAGAGATACTACATTAGTAATGTAGCCTCTATGCAGTTCAGTGGACCCCAAAACAGAGAACCAAATACCAGTGGCACAGCCACCTTGGTTTCTGGGACATGCCAACTACCAATGGCCTAGGGATGAAGCCAGGCCCAGGTCCAGCCAGGCCAAGCCTTACGCTGTGATGTGGAACACATTTTTCTCACTAGCTGACTGAAACTAGTTGGTTATAGGGAGTTAAAACCATGTCTTTTTATAAAATTTATTTATTAATTTTTAAAAATTTATTATAGTTTATTCACTTTGTGCCCCAGCTGTAGCTTCCTCCCTTGTCCCCTCCCAAACCCACCCTCACTCATCTCTTCCTATGCCCCTTCCTTAATCCACTGATAGGGAAGGTCCTCCTCCCCTTCCTTCGGACCTCACCTATCAGGTCTCATCAGGACTGGTTGCATTGTCTTCCTCTGTGGCCTAGCAAGGCTGCTCCCCCCTCAGGTGGAGGTGATCAAAAAGCCAGCCACTGAGTTCATGTCAGAGACAGCTCCTGTTCCCCTTACTAGGGAACCGACTTGGAGACTGAGTTTCCATGGGCTACATCTGTGCAGGGTCATGTCTTAAAAAACAAACAAACAAGGAAAAAAACCCAAACAACTAATGCTATGAAGGAAGCTGTGACTAGACATTTTCCTTTGCAGTGTGATACTTAAGGGCACTTGGTGAAAACTAGCTAAATAAATCATTATCTTACCCTTTAAAATTATTCTGTTATGTTTTATAGCTGCAATGAATATAACACCTTTATGAGACACACTGCAACTACCACTGTACTTTATTTTTAAGGAACAATGTGAATAAAATGTAGAGCATTAGGCTCAATAATAAAACTATTCTTTCTGTACTAAAAATAGACTCTATAGTCTATGAACTGAAGAGGTGTCTTATTCAGTGAAATTACTTTCCCTGCAAGCTTGGTGACCTGATTTTGTCTCTAGGACCCATGTGAAGGCAGAACAAGAGACCAACTCCACACATGTTGTCTTCTGATCTCCAGCACGCCATGGTATACACAGGCCAATACATTTATTGTATATGTATGTATCACACATACATAATAATAACAATAAAACAATTTTAAAAGAGGCTATAGGCTTTGTTTTGCAGTGAACACTTCCATAGGTTTATTAATCATTTGAAACCAGGAATTTATTTTTAGAAAGTTGAAATGTGTATATACCATTTAGACTTATAAAACAAAACTTTTTTTTCAACAGCAATTTGGGCACATAAAAAAAAAAAATACTTGCTTTTACTCAAACTCCAGCCACCTGCCTCCTAAAAAAATTAATATGGGAAATGATACAGCATACAAAAATGGAATTAAAGGAAACTAATTTAAAAGCAGGACCAAAAACAAGCAAAAGAGAGTTTCAGGGCTGCAGAAATGACTCAGCAGCTGAGGACACTGACTGCTCTTGCAGAGGACCAGCATCTGGTGCTCAGCATCCAGATGGCAGCTCACAATTTCCACTTCAAGGGGATCCAGTGCCCTCTTCTGGCCTTCACAGGTACCATGTACACATAGAAGAATACACTTTCTTTTTAAGAAGCAACACACACACACACACACACACATACACACACACACACACACACACTAAAAATAAATGAAACTTTAAAGGGGGGGGTAACAAAGTGTGCTATATAGAAAATAGCAGAAAAAAAGGAACTCAATAGAAATAGTAAGTACTGATTTTAGAATCCAGAAATTTAAGGAAAAAAAGCTAAGATAGGATTAGCTTTCACTCAGTAAGACTGTATTTTGGCATGGAGATAACCTAGAACCCCTGCACAGATATAGCCCATGGTAGCTCAGTCTCCAAGTGGGTTACATAGTATGGGAAACAGGGGCTGGCTCTTTGTTCACCTCCCCCTGATGGGGAAACAGTCTTACCAGGCCACAGAGGAAGACAATGCAGCCAGTCCTGATGAGATCTGTTATGTTAGGGTCAGAGGGAAGGGGAGGAGAACCTTCTCTACCAGTGGACTTGGGGAGGGGCATGGGAGGATATGAGGGAGGGAGGGTGAAATTTGGAAGGGAGGGGTCTATAGCTGAGATAAAAAGTAAATAAACTGTAATCAATAATAAATTAATTAAAACAGGAAAATAAATCATAAAAGACCATATTTTGTAGGCAATAGTAAAAATCTGAGAAGTAAATGTCTATTCCTATTTCCTCCACTTCTCACTCTATGGGTGCTAAGTCATGATAGTCAGTGTTAATTGCCAACTTGACAGAATCTAGAATTACCAGTGAGGGTTACCTTGATTAAGAGAACTGATGTGGAAAGGCCCACCTGACTTGTGGGCAGGCCCCACCCTCTGGTGGGGGCCCCTGCACAGCATACTAGAGACTACACTATGCCCAAGCATGCACTCATCCCCCTCTCTCTGACTGGGAGTGCAATGTGGCTAGCTGGTACTCCAAGCTCTGCTGCCCTGACTGAGAGCTCAAGTCACTCCTTTCTCCCGTGAGCTACTCTTGTCAGGGTCTTTTACGGCAGCAGCTAACACAAATTACGATGTAAATACTGAAACTTATGGCTTCACACTGTATCGATTTGTATTTTAAACAGGATATTTAAAAAGAAAGCAAACAAATAAGAAAGCCCACACCAGAAGGAAATTCTCTGCACCTAAGACTTACATGACATTAAGCCAGGCACAAAAACTAAACAGGGACAAGGTTATGTGGAGTCTCCTGCTAGCATGTCAGCCTGAGTGAATGCCACCACAGCACAGCCCCCACAGTGTCTGAGAAGCCACAAACCTTGACTTCTGGGAGCTGCATCACTTCAGGAAACACTTCGATGCAATTGGAGTGAGCAATCACTGTATGCATGCGCCTGCAATTCATGATTGTTGTTGGGATGGCTTTCAGTTTATTCCCACTGATATCAATTTCTTCAAGTTCCTCTAGTTTTGCCATTTTACTAAAAGAAATGGATGGGAGAATCAACAATTAACTATACAGATGCAATGAGAAAAAAGTGGAACTTATGACTTTAAAGGATCACGTATAGTAGTCATTTTTATAGACATTTTTCACCGTTGCTTTTGAGAAGTGAAATGTTTAATCATTTCCTTTCCTCTTACTGAACACACACTTAAGCGCAACTTTTAAGCTGATGACAAAAAAGAAAGCGGAGGTTCTTTTCCTCTCAGAATTTCTTGTACTATGCAGCTTAATCTGAACTCCAGTGGGAATCCTACTTAAACGCGTCAACAGCCAACATTAATCACAGTGCCTGCTTTGAGCTTAGGCTGAGAGCATAACTCTTTGTGTTGGGATGAATACTCAAGAGGATGCAGAGGACAACACAACAGCTCTTATTAGGTGAGCTTTTGTCCTCGGATCCAGCACCCAAACCACAGCTGATTACAAAGTGGTGGTGAGGACCAGGGTAGGTTGAAAGACATGTAATTCATCTCTTCTCATTCTAGAAGAGCCTTCATTCAACATAGTTCCAAAAGGAACTCCTTTCATGTCTTATTCATCATCTATGTGGATGGATCATCTCAAACTTACTTTAGTGACATTTTAATGTAATTTAGCATTTTATTTAAGAATATTTTTTCCAAATGTGTAATTTTAATCACTAAAGTATGTAACTAGGGAAGACTTTAAGAACCAGAGTTGCATGCCTGTTCTGTCAATCTGGAGGACATAAGTTTTTCACCAAGACAGCATTCACTCCTCAGATCCATTTCCCACCCTGCTAATGAGTGGTCAAGGACTGTGGGAACCCTCATGAGCTTACGGTCCCTGGCATTATTTCTACTCACGCTTCTCCCTGTTCCAACACATTTAAAAAATGAACCAACAAACACTATTGCAGTGTCACCTCTCAAATGTTAGAGATTATCTCTTTCTTGTCTTGATATAAACAAATGCCTCAGATATAACAGTAAGTTTTCTTATGACATCATGTCTTTTCATATCATAAAACACATCCACCAGGCTATGTGGTTATACTACAAATAACAATATAGAAGCATGAGGTAGTTAATTTAATGACACTTGGAAATCATATGTATTTTAATATGTTGTCCTCACATATTAAAAGAGATATGAAGAAATCAATGGGTAATGAGGCATGAAAAATAAAGGAAGATAGGGAAATTAGGCCCCAGTAAGAAAGAGTTTTCACTACTCAACACAGAAGGAAGGCAGCTTAGCAATGTTTGACCACTAGAGCATGCTCACAACCATCTGGTTAGTGGGCTATTTGGAGGGAGACAGACAGTTTTGAGTATGGGAGATGCTACATCTCATGACCCTATGAGAGAGAAATCATAGCAAGATTTTTTTTTCCAAGTACATAAAAGTCTTTTATAAACTTCATCTTGGTGACTAACACTTGGCATGGGTAACTGGAGGCATTGCCTCAGAGCCAACGATCACTTTTCACACACAGGTGGCTGGGATAATCTCTTGTGCACTGTGCAAAGGTTGTCTTCTATTATTCAAATGTTGATTTCTGTGCCAGCCCAGAGCTGGGAACTTTGGAATTGTTAGTGAACATCTTCTCCATCACCTTCAGACTGGTTTAATAAAGAGCTGAATGGCTCATAGAAAAGCGGAAGAGGATAGGCTTCTGGAAAAGATAGAAATGCTGGGAAAGAATCAGGTGCCTGGAGTCATCAGCCAGACATGGAGGTGCTGGTACTGAGGAGAGGTAACAAGCCACATGACAGAACGTAATTAGTACAAACAGGTTAATTTATGTTATACGAGTTAGTTGGGAACAAGCCTAAGTTAAGGTCAAGCTTTCATATTAATAATATGTAATATCCATGTCATTACTTGGGTGGCTGGTGGGTCCGGACAGTCTGGTGATAACTGGTGTTCAATGTTGATAACAGATACCATCCAAAGAGACTTTTTAGTCAATTAAAAAACATGAGAGTGACTGTGCCCATTCCTCAAACATTATCTTTGCATTCCACTGTAAAGTACAAATGCATAGAAGCAGCAGTTTAACCATCAACATCAAATGATGGGGAGATGGGAATGGAAAACCAAAGCCACGTCTGAAGTCAACACATCCCCCTCTTTCTTCAACAGACTGGGAGGAAGCCCTGGCAGCACAAAGAATATTATTTTGATTTGGTGCCTAGGCTGAGCTGCAATGACCAGCAGAATACCACGAGGGTAGTTTGCTCCTTTGATGTCTAGGTGTGTGTTCCAAGTCCTAACTTGTAAGATAAATGTCAGTGAAATGGAAGTAGAGTAAATCCTCTTGGCAAGCTCAGTGTATGGGGCTTTGCAAAGGCAGAAAGAATGCTACTGCTCCGAGACTAAGCAATCCGACTATCCTAGAGCAGTCCTTTACAATGTCAAGCAGTTTCTATGTTGGTACAAGTCCCCACTATATTTTGGTCTTTTCTTTCCTTTCCTTCCTCTTCCTTTTTGAGGTGCTAAGGAGAGGTGAGGAGCCATGTGGCAGAACATAATTTGTATAAGTGTAGCATGCCTTCTGCATGCTATGTCAGCTTTCTGACCCTGTGCTACACCATCTAAGTTTCCTTGTATGTGTGTATGTATGCGTGTGTGTGGTATACATGTGGGTGGTAGCGCCTGGAGGCCACTGAATGTCTTCTTCTACTCCTCCCCGCTCTGACTTTCAAGATAGTCATTTGTTTAGTGGTCTACTATGACAGAAGCAAAAAGTTCGTGGGGCTTCTCACTTGAACATGGAGCCCACCGATTGGCAAAGCTGGCCAACCAGTGAGCAGCATCTGCCTGCCTGCCTTCCCAGAGCTGGGGTTACAGTCATATGTTAGCATGCCTGCTTTTATGTGAACTCCAGGGATTGGAAGTGGGGTCCTCATGTTTGTGGTGTGAGCAATGGACCCAGTGGGTCATCCCAAGCCAGGTATGAATAAAAATGGGTTCCTGGTTTACATGTTAACTAGTTCTTTCACATACACAAATGGTGAACAAATGATTTAACTGTAGGTAATATTCACTAAGTGCTCAAAAAATACCATAAAATAAATAAAAAAAACTATCCATGCAGTTTTACTAAATACCACATAAAAATCAATAGGTTCAAATGGTCTCAAAAGTTGTTGTTACCAACCTCCTCGACGGGGGAGTCTGCATTAAGTGCTAAATATGAACCAAATCCCGTAACATATATTTTTAAAATTTATTGCTTGTTTATATGTATGTGTCTGTGTGTGTACATGCATGTAGGTATTTAGCAAGTCCAGAAGAGGGTGTCAGGTCTCCTAGAATTGGTGGTATAGTTGCTTGATCAAGATTTGGGGTGTTAAGAACAAAACTTGGGTCTTTTGAAAGAGAAGCAATCACTCCAACTACTGAGTCATATTTCTAGAAAGCTCTATCTCGTCTCTCTGTCTGTCTCTCTTTCTTTCTCCCTCTGTGTGTGAAAGTATTTTTAAGAACAAAAGCCTGTTTAAAAAGTGAAAATTTCTGCATGGTGGTGATATATACCTTTAATCCCATCACTCAAGAAACAAAGGCAAGTGGATCTCTGTGAGTTAGAGGCCAGCCTGGTCTACAGAGCTAGTTCTAGGACAGGCAATAAAAAAACCTTATCTCCAAAACCCAAAAGACAAAAAGTTGTTCTAAGGCAATACTTGTGGATTTCAGCTTTCAAAAAAGAGAACTATAAATGAGGGAGAAAGAACAAACAGACTTGACATCACTTTGGGCTGGAGCTTCCGCTGTAACATCTCCCCTTCTGTGAGCATAGATGTAAAAACATCACATCACAATCTTCTGTTACCTTGCTGGGAAGCTCTGAAGCCGGTTGTAGGCCATGTGCAGGATCTTCAGCCGTGGGTGCCCTGTTAACAAGGGCACACACTTATCCGTGAGGCTGTTGTTTGTCAAGTACAACTCCTGTAATATGCTGCTCGTTTCCTCAGACAGTGTGGCTGGAGGCAGGGTTTCCAGTTGGTTTGCAGATGCATTCAGGAACCTCAGCCTGCAGGGACAAAATGCAGGGAACTCCATTAATAAGCTGGAGCTCCCTCAGCAAATCCATAAGCTACACGAGCAGCAAAGGTAGGAGCTAGGTTTAGAAACAGGAATTGGCTTCAGGGAATTCAATTCAGGAGGCATATGGATCCCCAGCCTACAATCTATGGTGAACATAACAGCAATCTGGAATTAAACACAGGAAAAAAAAAATCACCTTTTACTGAAATTCAAAGATCACACAAAATGCTTCTTTTTCTAGCTGGTAGAGAATGGAAGAGGCAAGGTTAATAATCTGACTTAAGGAAGAAAGCAGTAATCACTTCTTTTTAAAATAAGGAAGTACTTACACTCAAAACAATTCGGTTAGATCACAACAAAACTGAGGTGATGTGTTCCTTTTCATTATGATGTCTGCACATGTTTTACCGTCAAATATTCACAGCAATATGAAGGAATCTACTCTGTAGCAAAATAATGAACTACTGCTAGCAACAGGAATGAAGAATTACAAACATTGAATCAATGGCTGAATCTCACAAAAACAGTGGTGAGAGCAGCCAGACACAGCTGGCTTGGTTTCATCACTACCGAAGCCAAAGACAGACCAAACCACTGTGTGGTAATAGTTGTCAAGGTGGCTACAGTACATGGGTGGGTAGGAAGTCAATAGGAGAAGGAGAAGTTGTTTGATGTTTCTATCTCCTTGGACTGAGTGTGGTTATACAAGTGTGTTTACTTGCAAGGTCACCAGGTCCTACCCTTAGGATTTCCCTATGTACTTTCCCATACTTACACTATACTTCAGGAAGATTTATACTCAAACAAGCAGGCAAGATAATATACACTGCCATGGTTACCATGATGGTGTGAACAATGGTAAAATACAAACAACAGGTTTATACCTATGATAACTCAAATCATTTCCTTCTACTTACTGTGAAACACAGGTTCAAGATCAATGCAGAGTAAGGACAGTGAGAGAATCCTTGCCTCAATAAGGTTCCATATTATCCAAGGGGCAGCAATGACAAGGTGAGCAGAGCATGTCACAGTTCTAGACTCAGATACCAGGTGTGCATGTGCAGCAGCAAGGCATGAAGTTCCCAGCACACAGAGTCACCAGCCCAAGTGTGTGGACAACTCCGCCTGCCCACCACAGAGACCTGCACATACACCTTTCTCATGGTGCAAAAACATTCTGGTTTAACAACTAGTCAACAGGCAGAGAAAAGCGACTGCTAAAGACCCAGCCCTACAGAGGACATCAAATCACACCCAATCCTCCAAGCGCAGGGAGCATAATGAATAAGGAGACAGAAAGACTAAGAGTCGGAGGTGGTGGGTGTCTGTAACAGTATATACTCACTCATATAGACATGTAATACAGGATAAACCCACTAAAATCTATACATCTAATGAAACTAATCAAGAGAGAGGACCCTGACTAAAACGCTCAATCCCCATCCTGAAAGGCAAAGAGGATGGACATCAGAAGAAGAAGAAAACAGGAAACAAGCTAGAAACCCACTACAGAGGGCCTCTGAAAGGCTCTGCCCTGCAGACTATCAAAGCAGATGCTGAGACTTATGGCCAACTGTTGGGCAGAGTGCATGGAATCTTACGAAAGAAGTGGGAAATAGTAAGATCTGGAGAGGACAGGAACTTCACAAGGAGAGCAACAGAACCAAAAAATCTGAGCACAGGGGTTTTTCCTGAGACTCATACTCCAACCAAGTACCAGGCATGGAGATAACCTAGAACCCCTACACAGATGTAGCCCATGGCAGTTTAGTGGCCTAGTGGGTTACATAGTAATGGGAAGAGGGACTGCCTCTGACATAATCTGATTGGCCTGCTCTTTGATCACCTCCCCCTGAGGGGCGAGTAGCCTTACCAGGCCACAGAAGATGACAATGCAGCCACTCCTGATGAGATCTGATAGACTAAGATCAGAAGGAAGGAGAGGAGGACCTCCCCTATCAGTGGACTTGGGGAGGGGCATGCATGAAAAAGGGGGTGGGAGGGTGGGATCAAGAGGGGAGGAGGAAGGGGCTTATGGGGGGATACAAAGTGAATAAAGTGTAATTAATTAAAAAAAAAAAGGAAAAAAAAAAAAACAGTGTTTTCCAGCTGAAACAGGGTAGGTGAACAAAAGTTCTCACAACAGCAATGATAGCAGCCACAAGGCCATTGCAAACTCAAGCCAGAAAAAAACAAAACACCAATCCAAGCATAAAGGGGACAGGTGGGCATAAGGTCCCACCACTAGCTGAGGGGATGCTGGTATCTGACAGTTGTTAGGAGATGAACAGTTTTCTTTAACCATGAGTCCCCACGCTCCAGGACAGCCCCCTTCAAGACTATTTGGGAAACACAAATTAGACTCCTTAGATTAAAGGGAGGAAGGAAGAGTATGAGAATGAGAACACAAAGGTGGATGGGTAAGTAAGTAACAGTTGATCTGGTAAAAGTTGAGCACATCGATCACATTGTATCAAATTATCAAAGAACTAGTCAAATATTTTAAAATTCATCTTGGTTTAAACATTCAATATTGATTCCTTAGCATATGTTGAGGGAAAAAATTTTAAAAATTGGAATATAGAATGCTGGATATAGTTATTTTTCTCTTGGAATATTTTAAAGGCTTTGTAGCAGGAGCCCTTCCTGGTACTGTTCCTCTCAGCGCTCAGACACTAATGTAACACTCCAATTCTGCACACACCCCACACCTATACACACCCCACTCCACTACTCATCTGAGGAAAGCAACTTCTCCCAAATAGAATATTTCCATCAAAAGAACATGTATTCTTTTGACATTTAAAGAAGAAAAGGGGGTAAGGTAAGAGTTGAAATGGGCTGTAGAAACCATAAATAATCACAGGAAATTATAGCTGTGTGTTACAGACTAGAAAATAAAAGGTCATCACTCAGTTTTCAAACTGGTCTTAACTTGAAAAAAAAAAAACAGTTTTTGCTAGAATTCTTTATTTTTTAGGCTCCATTTCTACAAGCTGACTTAAATATTCCAGTTACAAACTTCCTCAGTACAAAATTAGAATAAATTAAAATGTAAGGATTGCATTTTTATTGCCCTTAAAATATCATGGAGCAGTGTCAATTGGGAAACCATCTAACAACTATTAAAATACAATTCTCTACAAAATGTGCAGTTAAAGACACATAAAAGACTGAAGAGAGAATGAATTCATGAATATTTGCATATTTTTAGGTCAGAAAAGGGAAAATGTTGTTTTAAAAACACTGACACATCACTGCCTATCCATAAAGCTGCAAAAAAGATTTTAAAAGCCCTTGCATCTGAACAAGAGGAAGAAAATTATTTTTGAAGGACTTCTCATTGGCGGCTTGAAATTGCCAGCTTTTATGGTACTTTCTACTCTCCACAGAAAATTAAGAGTCAGAAAAACCTCATACCACACTCCTCTAAGAAATGAAGCTAAGATAGTTAGAATTATGGGCGTTAGTGCCAAAGGATGGTTTTGACCCACATAAAGCACAATTCTGGTAATGCTAAACATTAAACACAAATTTTATTTTATCGAGATTTCAGGAAAATTAAATGCAATAGCCATTTTCCTAAAATAGTCTTTCTTCAATTTGAATATTATACCAGGAGCCAAATTGAATAAATTTAATGGTCTAGATGCCATTCTTCCTCCAGAAGGAACAACTAACTAATTTAATGAGCGAAACTGTCCAGTGTAGAGCAGCTGCCTAAAAGACAAGCTGCATTAACCCCTCCCTGTCTTTAACCTGAAGTGTAGGCTACATTCCTCAAGACATGATGGTGTTAACTATTCGTAAACTTCCCCTTACCAATTTCTATAATATCAGCATAAAAGACTGTTTAATGTGCTAAGAAACCTTTCAGCCATATAGCTCCTCACGACATAATTGTCTAATTAAAGAAATGGCAATAAAACGCTATCTGTGTTTTCATTTATAAGCTGTTTTATAGAAAGCAGAATATACCTCTATTTTCCATCTCCCTGGATGTTCTCCTTATCCTAAAGATCTCACATGTTTCACGCAAACAGAAACCAAAGCCGGGAAAGGTGGATCGCTTGGCGGTGGTCGTAGAGTGATAGTAGCACAGACAGGGTTCCTCAGTCTCAACAGACCATTGTTCCTAACACATCTCTACAGAATCCAGACGTTAGAAACAGTACTAAATAAAACCTTCCGCAAGGAACATTTTCACAGGCCCCTTTCTCCAAAGCTGCCGGGGTCTAGCAGGATCTGCTGGAGCAATGTGAAGAGACTGTGTTCACAACACATCAAACTCAATCCCTATAATCAATAAATAGTTCTCAGCTCAACACCTCTTCTTAGCAGAAAGCTAAATGCACAGATATGGTTCCTGCCCAAGAGCACCTGGGAAGCCACAGCAAGACTGAAAGACACTTTCTGCCTCTGAAGCTGCCGTTCTGCCGTGGCTCACTATCTGCTGCCTCTCGGTTGTCTTGTTTTATTTGATTTCCAGAAGTTCTCATTTATCCTAAAAATTTACAGACATCCTATCTCTACAGAGGAGTGCAGGGTTTGGTGCCACAACAGACTTAGCCTGTGGCAGGATGTCAGATACCATGCGTATTTGGACTAAATTAGGGGTAGGTTGGAGGTCTTGTTCTCTATTTTAATCTAATGGCCAAGAATACAAAATATTCTACTTTTAGGCAGAATGCTATTTCTGTGGCCCATGTTTTAAGGTGTTATAGAATACAAACTACATTTCTTGTTATTGTTTATCTTTGATAAAGCAAATATTCTCAGGGCCTTTGCAACACTTTATGATGGTTAACTTAGAACACATGTTTTACATGGCCAGCCTACACACATGTAATACAGATGTGTAACTCAAAGTTCATCCAACAGCACTTAGCCTTATTCTGTGATATACAGTGATTTATGCCATTGTGGACTTTCTGAGACAGGGTTTCACTGGATAGCCCAGTTTCACTTCAAACTAAATATTAT